CAAGCATGCAGTTCTGCCACTGACTCCAAGCTGTAGATGGACTACCAATCCCAGCAATACATCATATAGCAATGCAGAATAACTCCAGCTATAGAGGACTACAAAACTCAGCAATCTATATATAGCTATGCAGAATACCTCCAGCTATAGGGTACTACAAATCCCCGCAATACTTTATACAGCAATGCAGAATGGCAATGGCTAGAGAGGACTAGAAATCCCAGGAGAGGACTAGAAATTATATGCAAAACACAGATTAGTACTGACTATAGAGGTCTACAAACTCCAGCAAAATATTATACAGCAATGCAGAATACCACCATCTATAGAGGATTGCAAATCTCAGTCATACATTATAAAGCAATGCAGAATGGCACTGGCTAGAGAGGACTACAAATTCCAGCAATACATTATACAACACCATTTCAAAGCATTGAAGAATATAATCAGCTATATAGGACCACAAATCCCAGCAATCCATTATATAGCAATGCAGAATGGCACCGGCTAGAGAGGACTAGAAATCCCAGCAATGCATTTAGCAACGCAGAATGGCACTGGCTATAGAGGACTACAAATTTCAGCAATACAATATACAACAATGCAGAATACCATCAGTTAGAGGACTACAAATCTCAGCAACACAGAATATCACCAGTTATAGAGGACTACAAATTTCAGCAATACAGAATGGCACCGGCTATAGGGGGGTGGCTGGTGGAAGCAAGCACGGTTGAGAACGATTCTCATTATCAATGAATTCTAGCAGTTGATTCAGCCCTAGTGTGTCTGTATGTATACATCATAAAAAAATTTCAGACGGACAATCATCCCATGGGTGTCCCTTTGACAAAATAAAAAAATAATGCTTGTGCACAATAAAATAAAAACAGAAACACACACACATTATGACAACAGCTGAACCCCTAACACTTCCATCTTGACAGATGTTCTCCCATGTGTGCATTGTTTACTTATATACTTTACATGGTTGTGTCATCTGGGAGCTGGCATCTTAGTCCAAAAAGCAGACACTGTCCCTGCCGATTAACTGGACAAAGATTGTGTCATCCTTTGTATAAGGGGAAAAAAAAATGATAAAGCCATTGTCGGGGAAGAATTGTCATTGTGGTGACAGGTAATACCTGTGCTACGCTTACACATGAATTAGTATGCGTGAAAAAAATGAAATGTATGGCATACATATCTCAATCATGTACACTAGACTACTTAGTCACATTGCCAATGCAGCTCTCCACTGACACTTTTCAAACTGTATTATGTTTTTTTTTTTTTCCAAAGTCATAAATTGCTCAATAGTAGAGAAACCCATCATCTTAAACATCAAGGTTGGAGGCTGGCTATAGCAACAATTGTTTTTTGGAAAGGGGACAAAAGGAAGGCAATTACTGACTTTTCGTATCAAATAGAAGTAGTCTAGAAAGTTAATTGCCTGCTGTATTTTTATTTATTTTACATTGGCAAACCAACTCCTGTGATTTCCAAGGGCCCAAGGGTGAGGGAACACCATTGGCTAAGTGTCATAGCAGTGAGGTAGTAAGTACTTGGCAAAGGAAAAAAGTAATGATGAAAATACTGACGCACATGTTCAAGATAACTACATAACTCTTTACTAAACCAAATATAAAAAAAGAATATGAGCTTTCTAGTAAAAAACAAAAACGCTTCATTAACTTCCCTTTACCAATTAGGTCCTTGAACAATATGCAGGTTTGCAGAGCTGATATACAATGCAAAATCCATAACAGTTGTCTGGCCACAGCAATAGAGCTAATTTACTACCATCCAAAACCTTCCTGCCCACCACAGTGTAACACATCTACAGACACCACAACATACCAAAAAGTAAGCTTAAAAAATCACCTAGAAAAAATATATCTACTTACAGAACGACGATGACTAAGGGTAGGTGACAAGTACGTGCCACATACTCAGGTTTACCTATCTCCAAAACAGTCATGGGGTGGTGACATATTAAACAATCAGAGATCTGGGGCTTTCCAGAATTATGTATTTGCAGGGACCACAAAATGGAAGAGATAAGCAATATCGACGCTGAGCAAAAACAGGAGCAGATTTACTAAAACATCATAGTTTGACACTTTTTTCATTTGATTGATATTCAACCAGAGCTGGACTAATCCCTGAAGCAAGGAAGCCATTGCTCCCTAAAAATTACAGCTAGCATCTAACCTGAGCTTTTCTTTAGCTGTCAATAGAGCCGCTTCCCGGATAAATCAGACTGGCTTCTAAATTCCATAGCAATTTATCCACCTCGGTATTACACAGCCATAATCACTATTTCAAACAAGATATTCAAATGGTTGCTATCCAAATGATTCCATGTACCATCAGGACAAATTTCCAGAGCCTAGTAGTTGATGTGGAGGGCTTGTTCACACCAAATGGGGACCAGATCTGCATGAGTTGTTTTGCCGCGTTTTGTAAAATAGGTTTTCAGTGTGTTCAGGGGCGTTTGCATTCGTTTTGGTGCGTTCCAGAGCAGAAAAAAAGGGTATGCTACAGTTTTTCCATATGCTCTGGAACTGAACGCTCTGGTGTGAACTAGAGCCCAAAATACCATTGGAATACATTGGATGCAGTTTTCTCCATTCTGTAACTGCTATGCTCTGCTCCACTCTTGGTGTGAACTAGTCCTGAATAGTACCTAATCTTCTACATCATTGCTAAGTAAATAAACTTAAGCTAGTCATACACGGCTTAAATTACGGCTGATTCCTGCTGAACTGGCCAAAATTTCAGCCATGGGTGGCTCTACTGGCATCACCCAGCTCAACAAAATCAATCTAAAAATAAACTGAGGCCAGTGGAGTCGAGTTCTTGGATGAACAGTGACTGCGTCCTATCAGATGCAGTCACTGTTCAGGTATTAGGCCTCGTTCACATTGAGCGATTTATCGCGCGGTAATTCCCGCGATATCGCGGCAATTTACCGCGCGATATCGTGGCAATTTACCGCGCGATATCGCTCTCCAATGCTTCTCAATGGGGCACAGGGTCCTGCTGTCGCGGGTCGTGTGTCGCTAAAGCAGGACCCTTTTTTGGAGCGGATTTAGCCGCGATTCAAGCTTGCTCAATGCAAGCAATTGCGCGACAAATCACGCAACAAACGCACGATTTGCGAATCGCGCTGTGTGAATGGGGCCTTAAGGTGGAGGCTGCAACAGATTTCTCCATCCATGCTGTTTAGTGTGGATGGGGGAATCTATTGATAGGCTCCTAAATTGAGGCAACTGGCATATGGAAATGCAGCATGTCCTTTATTGAACAGTCCATTTGAAACGTTTTAACCTTGAAACTGAAAGGTTTACAATGTTCTAGTCTGTGCACTCATAGTACATAGTAAAAAGTGTTGAAAAATTACAAAGAAAGAGTAGAGCTGGCACTCTAAATGACAATGCCCTGGCTTCCTGGGAAAGTCAAAGTATGGCCTGTCCCACTCCAGAACCTTCTTATTGTTCAGTTAAGAGGCCTCCTTGGGCAACAGGAAAGTATAGGGGGCATGAAATGGGTAGGCAATCACAGTACTGACCAGTACTGATTTACAGTACAAAATCACAGTACAATCACAGTACAATCACAGTACAAACCAGTACTGAAGGTTTCAGATGACAGTGAAAAGTTTTTTGGGTCTGCAGCACTCTTGTAGATGTCTGAATACAAACAGAGATTGCTACACCTTACAGCTGTGCTTACGCCATGGAAAATATACTTGATAGAACAAAATCTACATCTAAAAAAATCTTCAAAACCGGTAAACACACCAGCTTTACATAACATTCCATAAATATTTGGTCTGTTGGTGGCTTTTATTATTGCAGTATAAGGTTGATGAAACACAAGATTTTACTTATCCAACAACATTAAAAGGAGAACTATGAGGTGAGTGCTTTTCACTCACCTCATAGTTCTCGCCGACCTGTGACAAAGGGCTTGTTCACACTATTTGCCAGGGGTAGCCAAACTCCAGCCCTCCAGCTCTGGTGGAACTACAAATCACATGAGGCATTGAAAGATTCTCACAGCCACAGACATAACTCCCGGAGAGAGATGCAGCATGAATCTGTAGTTTCACCACAACCGGAGGGCCGGAGTTTGGCTAACCCTGCTATATGTGGTGACTGGCATTTTTCAGGAACTGTAAAGTGTGAATGAGCCCTAAAAAAAAAGAAAATACACAAATCCCAAAACAATGTATAACCATTCCAGCTAGAAGACATACACAGTCCAATGCAACAAGAAAGCAGAAACACATATTTGTGTGATTACAATGTGTGAAACAGAAGAGTGAGCACCAGAACCAGGTTTTTGGACACACCCAAGTGTCTCGTTTGGACAGTTTAAAAGTCAAATACTGTGAGGGGAATTCATCAGAACTGCAGCAGATGTGCATGTTAACCAATCAGCTTTTCTTTCTTTCTTTCATTTTCAAATCTTAACTAAACAAACTGAAGAGAAGTGGTTTGGTTGCCATAGGCAACTGCTCCAGTTTTGATAAATTCCCCTCTATGCCTTATCAAAATCAGCATGGCTCAAAACGCAAGTTTACATCTAATTTCTGAGGAGTTACAGACCATCATAAATGATATTACTAGGGGTCTTGCATATCAAAGTGCAATGATTGAAACTTTTCCTCACAACCATCAATCCGAATAAAACTTGACATCCGTTATACAACGCAGTAGGTCTGACTCTCGTCTTACTGGGGTACAATAAAGCTTTAAGTGTAGTGATACAAGCGGCTTATATTTTTACAGTTAATGTTGCAGAAAATACTCAATACAAAAAAAAAGAAACAAATCTCAAAGCCAAGAAACTTGTACTCACACAAAGTAGCACAATAAGCGAAAAACCTAAACCTTCCTAGAACAAACGGAGCAGTTTAAGCAGGGCCTCAATTCCCAACAGCATGGGGGAAAAAATGGATGCACTGAAAAATTAGACATTTTCTAAATTACCTTTGCTGGACTTCGATGGCTTGTTTTTGTTTGACTTCAATGAACCCTTGGATTTGTCCTCTCGTTCTTTAATTAGTTTTTGTACCTCATCCAAAGACAGCTTTTGAAGAACCACAACAGGCTTAGCACCTTTATTAAGATCTTCCACAAAACCCACTTTATCCCCCTGGTTTTTCTGTTCCCCTTTTAATTCCGATCTTCTGGACTCCTGGGTAACATTGCCATCTTTATCCCGTTTAAGTTTTGGAATGACAAAGTTTTTCAGGGAACCCTGACTCCCACCCAACAAATAACTTGGGAACCCTGCCTTGTTGTCACCATGGGCCTTATTGCCATCCACTTTACTTTTGTTACCATCGGTCCTTTTCTCATCTTTGCCATCTTTACCAGAGGGGGATCTCAATGCAGGCTTATCAGATTTAGGTTTATTTGTGTCCGGTTTGTCAGATTTAACCCGTGGGCTTCCCGATCTTGACTTCTGCTCGCCAGAAGAAAGTCTGTCCCTTGACTCATCTGAATCATGACGATGTTTTCTATCGCTTTTATCCGTTTTTGAAGGATCAGATTTATTACCATGCTTTGTATCCGGTTCGTTTTTGTTGGAAGATCTTAGCGACTCTGGCTTTTTAACTTTTGAAGGATCCCCCTTGTCGTCAGATTTTTGCTTTGGATTCTCAGAATCTCGCTTTGAAGACTCATGGCCTGGCCTTCCGTCTACTCTCGACTTGGCCCCATCAGAGCGACCTTCAGATTTCACCCTGGGAGAGTCAGGCTTAGAATCTGTTTTATGCTTTGATGAATCCGGCTTCTTGTCAGAAGAAAGCCTAAGGGAGTCTCTTCTGTTGTCATGTTTGTGTTTTGGGGTCTCAGGACGGCCTTCGCTTCGCTGTCTAGTCAAGACAGGGCGCTCATCACTTTTTCTGTGACCCTCTTGTCGGCTCTCACTCTTTTGTCGTGTTTCAGGCCTTCCATCATTCTTTTGCTTAGGTGTATCAGGCCGGCTTTCACTTTTATGTTTGGGAGTCTCTGGACGCCCATCAGACTTTTGTTTGGGATTATCAGTGCGCCCATCAGTCCTTCCATCACTTTTCTGTTTAGGTTGTTCAGACTTGCTCTCACTCTTTTGCTTTGCTTGTTCCTGTTTTCCCTCACACTTTTGTCTTGGTGTCTCAGGCTTTACCTCAGTTTTTTGCTTGGGAGTATCCGACCTTCCTTCACTGCGCTGCTTTGGGGTACTTGGACCCTGTTTTTGATCCTTTTTTTTCTCATCTTCATTAGAGTCATTGCAGCTTTCATTTTCCTTAACCTCCTCCTTGTGATCACAAGGTTTGGAATCTCTAATGATGATATCAGCAAGGTTTGCCTCTGATTTTACATCCTCATTTACACACACCGCCACTGGTTTACTCTCTGCCAGCTCCTCGCTGCTCTGTTTACATATTTCAGGTTTCTCCTCATTTTTGCTGTCTTCACAAATCATAGCTTCCGCCACAGTCTCTGGAGGCTCGTCTTTGATGCCACAAGGTTTACTTTCTCCCAGTAATTCCTCCTGCATGTTTTCCCCGGAATACACAGGTGTACTCTTTATTGGCCTCTCAGGGTACTCAGTTTCAGACTCTGTCCTCTTTCTTGGTGTCTCTGGGAGGTTTTCTGGGACATTTTTTATAACTCCAGTAGGGTCGTCTGGTAGAGCAGGAACAAATCCATCATTACAAAATTTTGCTTCTTCGGGCTTCCTTACAAAGTCTGAATCCTGAGTTACATTTGCCTGAGAGTCCCCTCTGCCAGTGTGCAGAAGATCGATGCTAACCATTAAAGCTGGCCGTGATCCATTTCCTGTCACGCTCGCCTCCTGGGAAGCTGGTCTGTTTCCTCCAGTAGCACCTCCAGCTTCCAATGGGTAGGAATCTTGTTTCCTCTTTTTTAAGGGTTTATCTAAGAAGAGAAAGAGGATCACATGAGTATGAAGAACAGTACAAGGGTTATAATTTATTCCTAGAACCTGGACATTAACATTCTAGAAAAAAAATGAACAACAATTTAAAACGTTATTTCTAAAGTCAGGAAAAAAAAAATGACAACAGGAGTTACAGCTAATTATACGGCATTATAAAGAAGGTGCTATGTGCAAATGCAGGACCACTGGCAATCTCAAAGGTCAATTGGCCAATCTACCTTTGCTGTGTCTGGTTTCTATACTTCTGAGTCAGTGACTAAGAACAAGCATCAGCCAGGCAAAAAGCTTTGCCCTAAAGAGCGCTTAGTAAAGGCAACCCACATATTTCTTCCATGACAGTCTTTAACACATTGCTTACTAGATACTTCTATTAATGGTAAGGACCAAAAGGTGTAAAGTTCTCAGAATTTAAAACGTGATTCAATTTACAAAAAAACTAAAAAGCTTTCAAATGTTTTGATTGAATGTCTGTTTCAACCTATTAATATTTAAAGTGGTTGTAAACCCTATTCATTTTTTTAAGAATTATGTGCGCCCTTAATTTATTTTAATTTTTTTTATTTAATAGGCTTTATTATTGATAAAACACTTGTTGATCTCGCCAGTCACTTTGACTTTGTTTATGGGTGCAATGATTAGCAGCCTCATATATCCTCTGCAGTGTTGGCAGTGCGCTCCTTCCAGTTCTTTAGGGGGCCATATGTCTACATATGGCGTACTATGTTTCCTGCTGCTCCTCATCATCAAATTACAGACAGCGAAGCCTGCCAGGGTGGGAAGAACATAAATAGGTAGCCAGGAGAGATGGCAAGTGGTGCTTTTTTTCCTAAAGAACCGGATCATGTGCACTGCAGTGGCAACACTGATGAGGCTATAGGTGCCTGCAGATACATGCCACCATGAGCAAGCTACAGTTCTTTAGCACAGTTCACCATATTCAAATGCAGCTCATAGCTTGCCATGTCACACAGGTTAGTCCCACCCACAACCAAGGCCATACAGAGCAGAGAAGAAGCAAAACAGTCACGTGACCTACAAAATAGAAAAAATTATAATTTTTGACATTTGTATTTCACACTCTGCTAGTTATATTGATTGCTGGTGGCAAGCCCTACTTAAAGAAATGAACTTAAATAATTTGATGAAAAAATATCAAATTAATCACTGTATTTAACAGCATGTCAAAAAGTGTTTGACAGCTCTAATCAATACTACAAAATCATGCAGAAATGATAGAATAAAACAATGATGGGTTGCACAACAGTGTGATACTTAGTGACAGCAAGCTCACTCCCTTCATAGACTATAACTTCAATACAAATTAGTAAACAAAGCCTGAGATTGTAGTCCATCATGGGACTGAGCTTGGAGCACACACAGGGACTATGAGGAACAAAAGTAGCCCCCCTCCAGAAGGAGGGACAGTGTCAGCACCAATTCAGAGATGATTTGAGGATCTACAGCCGAGTGATACACAAAGATACATTTCTGTTATTAGTTAAGATACTTGAATGGTTTTTGGGGCATTAACTCCTGAGTTTAGTGTCACTTCAATTTCAGGCCTGAAGTGTATTTATAATTCACTGCTTATGCAGTATACAAACCGTTATAAACAGCAGCAACCAATCAGAACTCATCTTTTAACTACTATAATTACAGTAAACTGAAATCCAACTAGCGGCTCTAGAAATACTGCTCTTTAAACTCTTTACTAAATAAACCTGCAAACTTCCCTTTAATATGCCAAAAACAAACATTATTCTATAATACCAAACACAGCCAATCACACACATCCCCACATATACACAAATGATCAAGGTATGATGCAGAAAGCAGCAACCAAGGCACATTCTGTAACGCACTGGGGCAACCTATGAATGGGAAGGCTCAACTGTTTCTGAGACCGGAACACTAACTTTTTTTTCTCTCCAGTGCAAAAAATACTGGAGCAGGGCAAAGACAAGCTTAAAACAGGCTCTCAGTTTGACAAAAATCCAACAACTTCTGTCTGCTTACAGAAATGATATGGCAGGGGAGTAAAGGGGAACATAAAATGTGTTCACGTGCATTTTACATGGAGGGGAATAACTGGCAGCAAAAAGGGTTAAAATACCCAGCTTATAGGGATTCTGTCACCAAAAACCAAATATTGAGCAACCAAGTCAGAAAATAAATTGTTTATACAAGAACCTCTTCATCTAGGTGATTTTATCTGACAGTAAAAGTATTTACTACACACACAAAGCAGTGGAGATAGCAATGTATATAGTAAATCAATAATTTATAGGCCTTACAGCTGACTAAAATAGGGCTGCAGCAACTAATTGACAATAATCGATTATGAGAATAGTTGAATAGTTGGTGAGGGAGAGAGGGAGATGGAGGGAGGGGGTGAGAAGGAATTTTTTTTATACAACCAATTAGTTGAGAAATTAAACGGGCAAATAATCGATTATGAAGATAATCGTTAGCTGCAGCCCTAGACTAAAATCAATCTGGCGAAATTATGTTTCAAACCCATTCACTCCCATACATTTTACACCTCGCATATTGAATGTGCACTTTCAGGGTGAGTTTTCTAGTGTACTTTGAATGCGATGAGCTTCATTATACATGCAAACATTGTTGAATATAAGGGGTCATTGGCTGCCCATAAGCATTAGCGGGTAGCACCCTTACAGCAGCAAATCTGCGGAGGGTAGCAGAGCTCTAAATAAACATGCATGTTCAGCTCTGCAGACCAAGCTTTACATCTATGGAGAAGAGAAGGGGAGGAGGCAAGCGGTGCAGGAAGATGCTGCCTGTGACTTATATCAGGGGAGTGTTATTTGTCTGCCACATTAATGTTCCCTCCCCAAGGCTGCTAAACTCCACAGAGCTGGTTATGTAGCCTCTGAAAACCACTTTATCATATTGTGATTATGGGCCTCTTCAAGTAGCCTTTGCAGGGTCAAAGAAAAAAAAAATTAGTTTATAGCTCTGCAAAGACTGGGCTCTCCAATCACCAAAGGAGCACTGTACTGAAGATTATAAAGATATCACTTTACCCGCATGTACTAATTTGTATCAGTTGGTAGCATAATCATCTTACGATTTTTTTTTAGATTATTAAACACACCAACATCAAGACCTGTCAACAAAAGATTTCTCATGCCAACAAGTGATGAAAAATCTCTTGTAGGAGAAAACACAATAGAAAATAACCCCACACTACCTTTATCCTGAACTTCTTTAGAAAAGCGCTCCCTCTCAATAGCGGATTCCCGTTCTATCCTCTCTATCTCCGCCAGAGCATCCAGTTCCACTTCGTCGTATGGCGTTATGTTTCCTGTTGGTTGAGTTTGTGACTGAGCCACGGGAGGTTGAGACGGTTTTGCAGACATGTTGGGCTGTAGGACGGGCACTTGTTGTACTTGCAGGAACTCAGTCTGCTCTTGAAAACAAGCAGCAGCATTCAAAGGGCGACTTATGTCCTGTGGAGTGACTGGAGTTTTTGATGGGTGCCCAGGGTACTGAACATTGAATGAGGGGTCACCATCACTGACATTACTGTTCTCCATACCAGAGAGCATGTCTCCTTGCTGGTCCATTTCATTAGATCTCACACGAGAAAGTCTTAAAGTGAGCTTGGTGGAGTCTTTAGAAGGAGAGCTGATTATGTCATACATAGCTGACTTTTCACTTGGCTCCTTCTCATCTTTACTCAGCTTTAACTTTTTCTGTCTTTTCAACTTTCTGTCAGGTGAGTCCAGCAGTATGTCAGGAGGAGCATCTCGTGGGGAGGCATAGGGAGGAGGCTGGGATTGAAGAATTAACGGCCGTGATCCTACAGAAAGGAGAACATGTATAAGAACAGAATTTTTTTTTTCTCTCTGAAGGCTTTAGGAGACAGGCACATGGGTGTCAAAATGCAGTACAATCCTTCACTCTGTTTTGCGTTGCTGCAGGCAGGACAGCCCCCATTTAAAATGAAGAACTGATCCAAACTGAGGCTGGGTTGTGAATATTCAATCATTTACATATTCAGAACAAGCAGTAAAATGAGCTTTAAAACAAGCCCTTACTGACCTTTGGGAAAGAGGAGCAAGGTGAGTTATGATGCAGAGTCACTGCTAGGAGGGGTGAGCAGAGTTGGCATAGTTAAGGACTTCTGCTGTGAAACAGAGAATGAACTGCTTCATACTGTCTGCAGCTACAGTGGTCAGTGAGGGCTAGTTTGAAAGCTCATTTAGTGCTTATTATAATTAAGTGAATATTTGAATGTCTTTAGCCTGGCCATAGTTACAATATAAAGTGAAGCAGTGTAGGAAACAGTTAAGCATCCAAAATGAAGACTGCTGACAGCCCCCACCTACAAGGCAATGTTGTTTGTTTCACTTAACCTAATAATTGTAACTTCAGGGCTCGGGGCACCTGGAATAAAGCCCTGTGGAACTGGCTTATTCAGCCTAACAACTACATTTTGGTACCTTGAAACCTTCCTTCCTTTCTACAGGGGACATAAATCAGAGTTTAGCTATGGTTTAAGATTTGCATCAAAAGCACTTCAGCAGATGCATATATTTAGGTAAGCTTTGTACAACGAAATGCATGGCAATCCCTGCTCACCATGAGGCAAAAGGGGAGTTGTCCTGGCTGTCCACCAGTCTGTGGGAATTTACTGACAAGACAATGAGCTTTAATACTTGTGTGCATTAGCTGCTCACATCAAAAACTACAAACTCTGGGCTGAGATTAAGACGTTCTTTACATGTTTGTTGCATGTTTCCGGAGTAATGAACGCTGCCGAGGAACTTAAAAGTGTTTGCTGAAATCCAACAGGGAGACTGCTGTAGCCCTACAAAGAGCCAGCGGGTGATCAACACCCACCCCAAACGGAAACAGCTTTGGGTGGTTTTAGTCCACTATCCAAAATTACCGTGTACAATAAATATCCTGGATTGTTACACTCGAGTATCTATGCTTGGCATGACACAGTGCTCACTTGTTAATTGCTGTAACCCTTGTCACAGCACCTTCAAAAGCCAAACAGAAGCATGTGTCACTGTGAAACACCCCTCACGATGCCCTGCCCCTACCCTTCTTATCAACAAAGAGAAAGCTGAACACAGCTTATTCCAGAACTACCAGCACCGGCAGGTACACCGAAAAAATCCATATTAACCCATTTCATGCCAAGCCTGCTCCACAATCACAGTCCCTTTTCAGCCTACTTACAAAGCCCAACTGCTACTGCCCGTATTCTTATTGGCAAGACGTGGAATAACATTTACAGATTAGAGTTGGATGGAAGGCCCTATCAAATATTTGAGAGGGGGGGTGTTTGGGTGGGGATAAAAGTATTCCTGCTACATAATATTTTTAAATGAATACATTGATAGCTATTGGGGCAATATGAACTTTTCAAGGTTAATTGGAATGAAATTTGTGGAATATTGGGTCATCTTGTTTTAGGAGAATTATTTTTTTTTTAGGGTGGATGGAAAGGAATTCGCTACATTGTGGACTTTGTTGTTTGTTTGTTTTTTTGTGGTTATTTTAATTAAATTCACCTATTTAAAACAAAGAAATAAAAGAGATGCCTATTTAATTGTACTGCCGATAGAAAGGCCTATTTGTTTTCGAAAAAATAATCCCCAAATTAAAAAGGTTATTAATGGTTAGCCTGATGCACACTTACAAGCAAAAATTGCTCAGGTGCTAAAGAGGTTAGGCCTACCCATTACTCTGGTCCTGAAGGGATTAAAGTCTATCCATATGTCTTTGCCCAAGAGGAGGGAACTGGAGGAAAAGGAAGGCCACTCAAACACTGAACACACAATCCATGCAGAGTATGCAATGACTGCAATCAAACCTACGTAACCAAAGCCAAATGACAATATTTCTAAGCAACTGTTGTTCTCTACTATGTCAAGTAACATTTATACCAAATATTAAAGGGAATATCCGGATATCTTTAGTAAAGATAACATACCTTTTGGTGTCCCATCACTGCCGGCAGGAGAACATACAGACTGTGGGGATCGTAGGGAAAAAGAGGCAGCATTTCTTATTGAAGAATCACTGTCCTGTAACCACATAAAAAAACATGTATGAGCAAAAACACATCACTGACCCATAAAACTAGAAGA